CGTCCCAGTGTAGTTAACGGGACTGATATGCCCTCAAATACCTTTGCACATCTGGTGGGAGAGGCTTAACACAAAACTGACTGTTTTATCTTATTTTGCCTCACTACCACCAAAGTTATTACTAAAATAAATACATTTTTAAAAAGGTCACAAACTGTAAACATAAGCACATTAAAGCAACCTTGCATCCTCCAGTCGCCACCACAAAAATAGCTCCACCTCCACAGCAGACCAGTCCGGGTTCCTTCTCCACCTGAGCCACAGAGAGGGAAAGCAGTGAAGACGAGCGTAGGTAATAAAACACGGCTGACACAGGATCAGCGTCAGTCAGGTTTAACTTTACCTGCACAATCTGCTGAGAGGAGAAAGGATGGCAGTTGTAGACGTGCACCATGTTTGGTCTTCTTCTGGCAAGAGGACTCTGTACAAGGTGGAAATTTAAAACAAGAACAAAAAACCAAAACATTAGTTAAGGTGCTTCATTCTTACTTTATCTGTGTTTCTCAGAGGCTTCATCCATCAGGGTAAACAGGACTACTTCAAGAAAAGGATGCACTTAGTCTCAGGCGCTGGATTGTTTATTGATGAGGACTGATGCCATCTGGAAAGTTTTTCCTTTATTTGACACATTGGGCTAATTTGCATACTTGCACATATAATTCTCGTGCAGTTTTTTTTTACTTTTTACACATAAACATCATATCACACACACACATGAATTTCACACGAAAGTGTCCTTCCTCCATTTCTTTGGTAGATATTTGTTGGCGTTTACTAGGAAAAGTTGTTGTTTTTTTACTGATCTGCAGGTCTGCGTCACAATTCAAACTACTTTTGACTGTGAATGAGGCTAAAAACTCTTTCTGCAGACTTTCTCTCAAACTTTAACATCAGTCAGGGGGGAAAGGCGAAACTATTGCAATTAAATCTCGAGGACTGCGGGAACAACACGGTTGTAATAAAGGTAAAAAGAAAAAGAAAACACACACTACAAACCTCTGTATTCAAGCCTGAATTTCTAGCCGTCCATGTGGGCCCGAAGCAGGGCTGTGGTCATCCCTGTGTTATTTCTGTAATCGATATCACATGCAGCAGTCTTGTGAGCAGCAGCAGCCCCGGATTGTTTCACTTCACATCACATGAGCTCTTCGACCGACTATTTTCGTTCTTCTTACTTTTTTTGACTTTCTACATAAAACATGCGACAGACGTTTTCCTTCGTGAAGTCGATTTTCTCGCGGATTCTCCTCTCTTCCTACTTGAGCTTCGCTGCTGCAGTTTATTGATTTCACGCCGCAAAGAAAGAGGAAGTAAAACGTCAACCACAACAATCCAGCGCCCGCCCTTTTCTGCTTTTGATTGGCTTACGAGCCTGCTTGTATTGCGTTCAACTTTTTTACTGGTTATCGAGCTGTCATAAAGTAAAGGGCTGGTTCTGTTTTGTCTTTTGTGTTTTGTCTTAAATATTTGTTGACATTTTTCATATACTTTCGTGACTCCTTGTAACCCATTACCATTTTGCAGATAGTATGATATATCATAGTATCGCAGAGCAGTTTACCTCCTCCATTCAGTTTAGAGTATGAGTCCTGAGAGACAGGGCACCACTAAGGAGGGCCGGGGGGGGCACTGGCCACCCCTCAAAATTTGAGGGTCGCCCGGTAAGATTGTCTTATGTTGGTAATAATTTTAATAAACGTGAGCACAAGAGAGAGGAAGGCACCCTGCAATGAGTTGAAACAGTAACTTGTTATTTATTCCTGATTATACAATTTTTGTCATTCGGATTGTGTCACTTTGTATGTTCCTCACAATTTCCCGGCGTCACCCCCTCCCCTCCGCTGCACCCCTGCACTCTTCTGTTTTTGGTGTGCCAACCCAATATTTTTAGTGGCCCCCATATGGCCACCCCATTAAAAAAAATCTGGAGGCTCCCCCTATTATTTCAATAAAAGTAATAACTAAACTATTAAAGTAAAATAACAAATTAAAAATTAAAATTCAACACTGCAGATTAGTCTTCACAAGTGATCCCTACTATTTTAACGTATCAAACACAGCACCTTCACCAAAGCTGGAATGTCGCTGTCTAAAGTGAGTCTAATTATACTGTGAATGTCACATCAGCACCAATTCACCGAACAGTCAAATGTGAAGCAACACTGGGGCTGATTTATGCGAAGTTGTAAGTCAGACCACTGGTTGAAAGAACATTACAAATGACACACTTTGTAATTATCAAGGATTTATTTTTACATTGGTGACAGAATTATTTTATTATGTATTTATTTTGTAACTAGGCAGATCAGATCAGTTTTATGTTGCCGTTTTAGGTGACTGGAAAGAAAACAGGCAATGTTATATTGTATAGAGTCAATAATCAACTTCCAAAGGATGAAAATTAAATAAAAGAAAACATTTAACAGATTTGAACATGACAGCAGATATCCAAAGGGGGGCTACCATTATATCTGCCCTCTAACCTCTGTATCTGTAGATAACCTACAAAGGGGCACCAGATATAGTGAATCAGTGATTGATTACCTCTGTGAAATAGTGACTGTGTCTCTAAAGGGAGAGCTGAAAATATTTCAGAAATCTTTTGGCACCATTTTACCTGGTAATACATACATTTTTCTTTCTATTTCCTCTCTGCCTACTCTTGAGAACTACTCGTGGCACACTATTAACTATTTATTCAAATTTCATCAGTTTAAAAGACTCAGAACAAAATAATTTCCACATATTTGGAAAAGCAGTTTTCCAGATGAAATACGTAACATACAGTGCAGATTAGTACTGTATACCAATAATGTTTCTATAGCCATTTAAATATATGACTTTCAAAGCTTAACGTTAGTGGAGTAAAAGTAGTGCTACTTTGGAAGGAACAATTTCAGTTTGTGGCTTTCCATTTTCCTCCACAAGATGGCATCGTCCCTTCTTAAATACGACACGATTATTCCCAGTTGTTGCCCAGTAATACCAGTACTTAGATATTGTGATAATGCAAAGAGCCGTATGCGTTTTGGGATCAGCCCTTCTTGAGGGATTCTTGCTGATTCGCTTACGTTTCTTGATGAATTTATTTGCTATATTTTGTAACGTCAGATTTAGTTTCAATCAAAAAGTGTAAAGTGAGGTGACAAATACAACAAACAAACAACGCAGAACAAAAACTCACGTGTAAAATTAAGTGGTTTTAAGTTTTAGTTCAGTCTTTATTTTGAAGACGGAAGTCTTTTATTTTGAAAGGAAGACGATTTCGCCTGAAAGTAGCAGACGAAACATGAAAGTTGGGGAGACCAGGTGGAAACGTACATTTAATTAAGTTATTAATTCTATTTTTCCTAAAAAATAAAGTCTACAATGTGAACAAGGTATATACAACTTTAGAGTAGGCTAATGACTATTTGTGGGTTGATTTTTTTTCCACCTTTTTTGTCCAGGTTTAAACCAATGACTATAGAAAACAGTTTTCTACAGTCATTGGTTTAAACTTAATTTGAAAAGGCGCCAGGTTGATTAGCATGTAAATTATCAGGATGTCTAAGCCGGAATGCTAACTAGCTACTGCATTCGACAGTTTTGTATCCGTTTAAATATTTTAATTTTAATTTTGCTTACCTTTGCTCTTGAAAATAAATACATCGCAAATGGTGCTAACTGTACAACCTGCAAGTGACTCAATAATCAAGTCTGCAACCCAATGGCCATAATTAGATTTAACTTACACTCAAAAACCCGAAAAGCCTTGTGTAACCTAAACGTTTGATGATATTTTAATCGGGGCTTTTTTTAGATCATAATTTAAAAGAAATGACGGTGCAGAGAAACAGAAACGCCTCCAGCCTTCACAGCGGATAACACGCAGACTCAGCACACGGGTTCCTTTTCTGACAGAGGAGGACACCCTTTAAGTCCTGTTCCTCCACCCTCCAAAGACAGTGCTGCCGGAGGGCTTTTCCAGCCAATTAGCACCACCTTGATTTGCATTTGCCCCGCCTGGTCCTGCCACAGCATCAGAACGTAACTTTAAGGTAGCCAACGAAGCGCCACTTTTACATGCCTTTGAATTGGCACTAGAGAAATAAAACGAAGACGCGTACTGTAGTTCAATTTTTCGTTGTCTGCTGCGGTCCTGACAGGTACTCCGGGGTCGGGGCTTTTCTCTGACTGTAGTAGCTGAAATGGATGATACCATCTGCCCGCTAAGACACAGTCCCAAAACCAGGGTGCTGTAATCAGTACTCTGGCAGTGGGGGTCTCCTATCAGCTTTGCATTACATCCCCAGCAGATGTGCAGGCTGCAGGCAGCAGCCCGTCTGTGTCGCTCTGCAACTCTCTCAAGGTAAGACTGGTGTATGGGCACTTTTACCTTTAGGATTATTTGTTGCAAAAAAGCGAGAGAAATACAGTAAAACTCCGGAGAGTCTTAACCATTTAAATCCCTTCTAATCGCTGCACTGAACTAGTGTGCATGTTTGAACTGCTAGGAGTTAAGACTTTGTGTGCTTGGAGGTGAAAGTGAAGCAGAACTGTTTTGCACTCACTTCTTTAACTTCTTTTACTGTTTTTCTAAATTGGCTTTTAAATATAACTATTAAGTCACAATTATTGCAGGACACATTCAAGTTACATGGCATAAAAACTTCCTCACAAATATCCCTCAAACACTGGATGGGTTTTTTTTTTAAATAACATTCTGAGGACATTTTGCTGCATTTAGCAAGAAAGATGAAACTGCAGAACTGCTAAATTCCACACAAGTAATAACTAGCTGTAAATTATCCTGGGTACATATCTGCAGTCATGTTTTATAGGCTAGAAATTTGTTGGCTCAGAGCTCATGAAAGCATTTCAGAGATTCAACCAGGGGTGTAAAATTAAACCCAACACACACCTTTAAGCGTGAAACAACTCTTTATAATATTAATTTAAATCACTGGCATATCAATTGTTGTCAGTCAAGCTGTTATAAGTATTGTCCTTGAGGGAAAGAGTGCAGTGTAGGTGAACCTTGACTGGAAATTGTGTACTTTTATGGGCTTAAATTACACTGCCAAAGTATTTTCCTCTTTCCCTTGGAGGTTGTAAAGATGCTTGTATTTAAATACTCTAATAAATCAGGGAAAATTTGCATCCCATAAAACACCGAAATCAGCTTGGGAGAAGAGAATGAAAACTTTGAATGAAATGTAACTTTTGGAGGCAAAAATCCAAACCAAATGAAAGTTGCTGGTATTGTGGTGCAGTGTGATAGTAACTTCTCTCTTTGGACCAGGAGGACGGTGAAAGTCTTTCAGCGTTTCGTACAAATAAGATGTTTGCTGTTGTGTGGCTACTTAGCTGCAAGCCTGGCCTTGCTCGATATGCAGGTGTGTGTGATAACTTGATGACGTTGTCAAATTCACATATCCCCTTAGGCAGTGGTTTAGCGTCGGCACACATGTACACGTTCACAAAATCCCGGCAGCTGCCAAGCAGATTTAACTCCGTTTCTTTGAGACGGAACTGTAGAGCAAATGGATAGAAATGCATAGATGATGGTAGGGAGGACAGCTGGAAATGAAAAGGATGCACAAACATGAAGTGAGGAGGATGAGGAAAACACAGATGATGAAAGAAAATGAAGAGAGGGGAAGTAGTTGGAAAAACAAGAAGTTTTTCAAAAAGAAAATAAAGTGAAAGAGGAGAGACTCAAAAGTATTTTTGCAGACTAAGAAGAGAACAAGCAACAAGAAAGGTTTTTTGATTTTGTCCTACTATGGTAACTCATTGACTTCTCCTCATCTGTTATATTTCTTCTGCTTTTATAGTTACTGTAACCTACAGATAAACATGTTTTGAAGGCGGCTTCAGACTTGTTCTTAAGGCGAGCACCCGACCACAGGGAGAAAATGATATTCCACATCACTCGCATATTTATTTTCACACCTCAGAAGAGGCCAGGGAGTTTTTTGACTAACTATAATGTTGCCTGCATTTCAGTGCACAGTTCAAGTTTCAGTGAACACATTCAAAGCGAGTAAATTGGTGTTTATGGTGCTCACATTATAGATGTATGGTTTTTCTACTTGGTTTTTGATGCGCTGCAGACATTTATGCCAGGTAAGCCCTGCAAAGCCCAAGTATTGCAAATGTACCCTGCATTGAGCTGCAGTGATGCAAAGCAATGCTGGCAAGCAGCTGAGATCAGTAATGAAAAGATGCATGCGTGGTGTGTAATCTGAAATGGGGGAATCAGTTCTGTAAGATGGCTGGATCTGCCATCTGTGATAATTTC